CAGGCCTGAAAAAGCATCTGGAAAGGCAAAGCCATGAGGTAGAGACCCTGTCAGAATAACAGTGGGGGCAGATCCCTGCCAGTGCTCGGCTGCAGGCAAGGGAAGTGGATTCACTGGGTAGAGATGCTCTGAGAGCACCTCTGGCATGCTGCATCCACAGAGATGCAAATGCTTCCTGCAAATACTAAAAGCAAAGAACAGGGGCTGGTCTAGCTTTTGAAGGAATATGGTAGGAAAAAAATAAATCCAATTTAATGTCCGGGACTGTGATGGGAATCCTATAACCTTTAACTGGGCATGACATGAAGAACCTTTTCCTATTGGCCTGGTGGAGTCAGAGATGAAGCTGGGAAGGGGTTATTATTTCCATCTGTGAGGCAGATTAATTCTAAGGACTTTTAACTTCCCTTGCAAACGGCCTAAATTAATGTTTTAGGATTTTAGTCCCTGCTTCCTCCCACCCCTCCCAAAGGCCAGACCCTGGAAGTGCCATTATGCTCCTGTCAAAGGGGCTATTTCTGGAATTGATGATATGAATGAAGCCTAAAACTCCGCTCTCATTAACGTCTGCAGCTTATCCCGGTGTCACTCCTAAGCTGGTGGGACTTGGTGACACTGCAGGGGAAGGCTGTCATTTCAACCCAATTTTCACATCACATTTGCACAAAAATTTCCAGGCCTTGCCAGCGCTTTCCACACATTTGTCAAATCCCAGCCTCTGTCCCAGCGAGCGAAGGCTTCGCTGGTACAAAAGTGATGGCTGTGGGTGGTGATGGGGGACTTGGTCCTGGCTACATCCATGATTCCTGGGTATGAACGACCACTCCTTGCCCTAAAAACCAGGCAGCATAGCAGAGCCCAGTGTCACCTGGCCAGATCCTGGCAGTTTGATGCATTCCTTTGGTTGAGTTTTATTGCCTGTGGCCCCTGGTGCTGCAGGGCTGTCCCCCCTTACCTGCAGAGCCCTGCTCCCATCATGCTGGCTCTGCTTTTTGGGGGGTCCCACCCAATCTCCCAGTGATGGCAGGAGGGCAGCACATTGCCTTGGAGGCACTGCTGTGCTGGAGCTGTATAGGGAGAGTGGGAGGAGAGGTCAGGGAAGGAGAGGGAGGGATGCAGGGAAGGAGGACGGGGAATGGTGGAAGCTGCCTGGGACTAGCAGAGCATCAAGGGAAGAAGTAAATATTAATCCCGTGGAAGAGTGTGTATCCCTGTAGAGCATCACCAAACGCTCCCGTCCTTACCTGGCTCTGTCACTGGGGTGGGTGCCCAGCCCCCCAGGGGAAGGGACCCCCATCTCTGGGGTCAGGTGATGCCGCAGCACAGGAGTGCCTGCTCTCCCCATCCCCAAGCCAAAGAGCCCACCAGGAGCAGTGTGTGTGTTTGTCAGAGAGACTCTGGGGTGCGAATGGACAGAGCATCGCACCCGCTGCCCTCTTGGTTACCACTGCCCTCGAGCAACAGCTCCCGATTTAATTCACTTGCTGGTGAATTTGATCCAAACTTCTGCAACCAAATCACAGTGAGTGTAATGCAATATCTCTGTCTTTTAATTATGTTAGGCTGGGTAGTGCTGGCTAATTGAATTTGGGACTCTTGCCTCTTAATTACGAAAGGTCAGGTGCTGAGGAGTGCAGGCAGGTGGCACAGGGATCGCTGGTGGTGGGAAGGGGCTCTGTGCAAGGGCTTCTGTTTGTAATAAGTGAGTGACTTCTGGAGATTTTAACTTTTGTGTGTGTGTGTGCTCTTTATCTTATGAATTTTAAGAGTCAGGTTAAAACAGAAGTGTTACTGTGTATTTCTGTGTGGCAGAAACAGATTCTTTTAGTTGAAAAGAATCTGTGAGCATTTTGGCTGCCTGCCTTGACCGAGTTGATGGTAAAAAAATATGGATTTTTAAGAATGTGTCGGGGTGAGCAGATGACCTGGAAAAGCAGGGACTCTCTGGCGCCCATCCACTCTGGATGGAGTGGATGGGGTGATCACCTGATGTATGCACATGAACCCCATTATTAATTTCTTTTGGACATCAGTCCTGCTTGGTGTAAGGAGAGAGCTCCTAGCAAATATTTATCTCATGCAACGAGGGCTGTGGACTCAGCTCAGCATCCGGGTGGTGGCAGTGCCACCACTGCCCCTCTCCTTGAGCATTTGCCTCCTCCTGCTCACCTGAGCTGCTGGCCAGGGACCAGCACTGTCTCTGGTGCTTCCCAAAGTGCCTTTGCCCCTTCTCTGCCCGCACCGCAGCAGCGAGAGGCGTTCAAAAAAGCACCTTCTGCTTTTGCTAATTGAAGAGTTTCCCTTTGTCAGCCTCTCAGCTCAAAGGAGGGTCGGTACAAAGCCATAGCCAGCAGCACTTTGTGTGCCTCTGAAAATCCCATTAGCAGAAGAAAGAGCTTGAAGTTTCATTCAGCTGGAAAAAAAAAAAGAGAGGGCAAAAAAAATAAAATAACACTCCCCAACCTTCTGATCTATCAGCTGCACATTAACATACTGCCCTCGGCACTGCCGGGGTCCCTTGTCCCGGGAATATTTAATCAGGGTGAAGTGTTATATTGGACTGAAATGTATGTGCTTGAGGGAGTGATATGCTGATAAGTGGGTCTGTGGTTAAAGCTGGGGAAAAAAACCTGCCATCAGCAAATAACCGCCCCCCTCCCACTCCCTCGGTTCCCCTCCTTCCCCAGGCTGTTTTCCTGCCTGCAGATGTTTATTCCTTTAAAGGGGGTTGGGGTGTGGGGAGGGCAGGGACCAGCCCTGAGATGGGGGCACAGACAGAGCTGGACGGGGTGGGATGGGATGGGATAGGTTGGGTTGGGGTGACCTTCACCATTGCCAGGGTTGGCAGCAGTCAGGGGGTCCATGCCTGTGCCAGCGTGGGGGTGCTGGCGTGGGGCAGTGTGTGTTTGTACAGGTGGGGTCTGCTGGCTGCCTGCCTGCACCACGGGGACCCTCTTGGGGTACAGATCTGGCCTTGGTCCCCACATCTCCCTCCTGGCTGCACCTGGAGCCCCGTGTGTGGCAGGTTGTTGTGTCTCAGGGGCCTGTGCTTTCCTGGCTCCCCTCTGTTTGCAATCAGTGACTGGTGCCAGTGCCAGCACGCTAATGAGCATCGAGGGGCACCCAAGGCTTTGCAGACTGTGCCGTGCCAGAGGAGGACAGGGAGGCTGCCATCCTGTGCTCTTCCTCCCATGTCAGCCCCTGCCCAGCCCTCTGCACCAGATGCAGGGCTGTGGAGAGCTTGGCTGCTTTGGGTGGGTTTAGGGCTGTGCTGGGTCTTGGAGAGTGAGGAGGTGAGATCAGAATCACTCCAAGCTGATGCCCATCATGGTTGTTTGCCTATCTCAGCTCACTCAGGAGCTTGCAGTCCCCAAGCAGCACCAGCAGCTGATGGGTGGGCAGGGGTGGAGCACATGAGGGAGAGCCAGGCCCAGTTCAGGGTCTTGTCCACTGCCACAAAGGAATTTACACGAAGCTTTGCCTGTCTGAGGAAGCATCTGTCTGTCTCTGCAGGTCTTAAGCCAACCAACCTGGCTGCTCCCGAGCCTCCTCAATTCCCTGCTGCGTGTATCACACAGCCCGTGCAGGAACATGCTCCTTTTGCCACCCATTTGGGATCTTGCAGGGTGATTTTTAATTCTTTATGTTCTCAAGGGCTTTGCAGTTCCTTGCTGGCAGAGCCCTGGATGTGGCTGGTCCTGCTGAGGGATTCTTCCCAGTCCCCCAGGCTGGGGAGCCCTGTGAATCCCCCCCAGCTACTGCCCCCTTCTCAGACTGCCCTCCATGCCTGCCCCCACAGGACTATATTTGGGCTAAGTATTCCAGCCCATAGCCTCAACCTGACAGTTGGAATGTCTATCCTGATATCTTGTAAACATTCCTTCTGATTAAAAGATCCAGATTGCCAAGGACCAAACCGTGACTCAGACCCATGTGATTTCCCAGGAATCCTCCCAGGATGGGTGGTGGCAGGAGCTGCCAGCTCCAGCCCCCTGTGCCCAGTGAGGAGGCACCTGCTGATTCATCCTCACCTTCTTCTTCCCCAGTGGGATAACGCTACAGCACGGGCTCCCAAACACCACCCGCTACTGTGTTGCAGTGAAAACTCTTGTCTGACAAGGGCCAGGCTTATTTTCCTAAAGCCTGGAAGCTGCTGCTGGCACCCAGGAAGGAACATGGCCCTGCTGCCTGTGGGTTCTGGCAGTTGACGGGGTGTTTTCCATGCTAGACTGGAAGATAACCCCAGCACCACATTGAACCAGCTCCTGGATTTTCCATCTCTGTGTGCCAGGCAGCCAGGAGCTGTCTGGAAATGCCCCCTAGAAGGATGCAGGAATTGGGTACCAGGTTTGAACCATCCCTATAGGGATGTGTTGCAGCACTTTATTCTGCCCCAAAAGTAACAGCATCTAACATCTGTCCCAGCAGCTCAGCTCTTTAAAATTGCTCCAAGAGGTAGCAGACAGAGTAGGGAATGGGCTCTGCTGGCCCTCATAGACTTTAAGGCTTTTAGGCAGTTCATTAATGGTTTTGGCAGTCTTAATTTGGACTGGGAATGAAAGTTCAAGCAGTGGCTTTAGGGAAATGCCCCTGGGGTAAGCTGTGACATGGTTAATAGAAATTGTAATGTTGTTAAAGTGCTTTTTCGTAAAATGCCAGGAGAGGAAATTAACGGTGTGGGGTTTTTTAGTTTCTTCTAAAAGTTGATATAGTTCATTTAATTTAATTTTTTAATCCATCACAGCAGCACTCGGCACTCTTGCCGTGCAACTTGCACTTTATAGTGGTTTTCCCATTAGCTGTAGCCACCGATGTCAGTGTGGGGAGAACACACTGTTGCTTTGCCGTCAGGTATCTAAACGTGGAGAACCAAGTGAAGCCTAGCCTAGGGAAGCTGGCGTGCTCCTGGCCTTAAAAAGCAGGATGAGCTTTCTGATTCAGCGGTGGCTGCTCATGGATGCTGCTCTGGGTCTGTTGCCTCCTTGACGGGTGCTGTGCAGGTGGTTCGAGAGGGTGAGCATGCTGGTGATCCTGCTCAACTGTGTGACGCTGGGCATGTTCCACCCCTGCGAGGACATCGCCTGTGACTCGCCGCGCTGCAGGATCCTCCAGGTACGGCCCCGACACTGCTGGGAGCTCAACATCAGCCTTGGGTTCATGTGGGGTGGGAAAGACTTGTGTCCTGGGATGGCTCTGCGCTGGCTGTGCCAACAGCACTTCAAAAATGCCGATTTTGGTGTTTGGATGTGAACACATGGTGTCATCGGGCAAAGCCCCTGTGAGGCTGTGCCAGCCCCAGCATAGCCAAGCCTTGACTGGAGTGCTTGGGAAGAGTTAACCACGTGTACAGTGTACATGTACACATGTTTCACATGTACAGTGAAAGCAGAGTCCAAAATACACTTGCCCCTTTGTCCCAGCACTGTGGGTGCTGTTGGGGTGCTTGGGTTGGGAGAGGACACAAAGCTGCTCTCAGCACAACCTCTGCCCAGAGATTTGGCTCTTGGTGGTGCACGAGGAGACCTTGTTGGACTCAGGTCTCTTAATTCCCTCCCTCTGGTGCAAGTGTGCAGGAGCATCTCTCCTCCCTTCCTTTCTTTTGCAGAGCTTCGACGATTTCATCTTTGCCTTCTTTGCTGTGGAAATGATTGTCAAAATGATCGCGCTGGGCATTTTTGGGAAGAAGTGCTACCTGGGAGACACATGGAACCGCCTGGACTTCTTCATTGTCATCGCAGGGTAAGTCCAGCATGGCAGCTCCCCCTCTTCCTGTGCCTCTCTGTTGCTATTTATGGCATGGCTTGGCAAGCACTGGATTTGGGGGAGCAGCAGGTTTGACAGCTGGGGGCTGGCTGGGTGTTGGTGCTGCCGGTGTTGTCCATCTCAGCTCCCCAGCAGGGATCACCTCCTGGGCTGCAGCCACCCCTCTGGTCTTCTCTGTGGCTTGAGGTAGAGCTGATGGTCAGCTGATGGAGGGAGCAGAGCAGGGTGGCAAAAGCTGTTTGTGGTGGATTTTGGCCAGCCCATACCCTCGGGCACCTCACTGGGTGCTGGGCACTGTGCTTGGCTCTTCTCCCTCCAGCCCACTGGTGGTTTTGGTTTCCATCCTTGGAGTGGGCGGTTGGAAGCGCAGAGTGCTGCGCCAGGAAGGATCGTTCACTGAAACGTGCATGATTGCCCTCATTATTTTATACCTTTTTTTTTTTTTTTAGTTTGAGGGAAAGCGACCAAGTTTGCCTTTTGGAGTGTTTTCCTTTTAGAGGCACCTGGTTTGAATTAAAGGCTCTTCCAGCACCCGAGAGTCTCCTGGCGGAGGCTGGAAATCCACATGAAAAGTCCTTGGCCACTGGCCAGAGAGCTGAGTTTCTTTGACACATGAATCTCTTGCTGGCCCTTACCTCCCCTCCCTGCCTCAGGAGCCCCAAGACTTTTGGGAAAACAGTGGGTTTTTTTTCCTCTTTTGATAGAACTAGAGATCAAATTTACTGGATTTTTCCTGGAAAGGAGCAGAGGTCCTTCCCAGCTTGTTTACCTGGCGTGGGTTTGGTGTGCCCCAAGAAGGGGAAACACCTTGGTGAGTTTTGCTTATGGTCTGTCACTGGCCCCACGAGGACATGGCACACACCCTGCCAGACAGCTGGGAGAAGCAAAACAGTGGTCCAGAAAAACCTATAAGGAGGTGCCAGGTCTCTCAGTGCATCCTTGGCCTGAAAAATTCATTGCTGAAGAGGTCAAAAGATGCAGCAAGGCTCAGACCAGACTGATGGAGGGCAGAAAGACCAGGAGCTGTAAGTGTCCCTGTAAACCCATCTTCTGCAGGAGGCCACAAGCTCCTGCTTTCCAGCTCCATCAGCCTCTGGCTCCTCAGTTTAGGAGGAGGCTCGATGTTAGTTCCTGATGTGTCTCAGCGATGTTAGGGACTGCAGTGATGGGACGTTGGACAAGATGGGATCCCGGGTCCAACTGGCTCTGTTAGGGCTGTAGACACCAGCAGCACAACCAAGGGCTGGAGCCTGCTAAGACACCCTGTGAATTCTTTATTTCTCCTGGTTTATTATGTCTTATAGTAGAATGTGTGGTGAAGAGCCCAACCTAAGCAAGGCCAGACATCCCACCTGGGGAGCCTTGGGGAGGCATGGTCATGGTTGCTGGGCTGCTCCCAGCTCCACTGCCCCGGAGTGCTGCTGCCTTCCCCTCCCAGCCTGGTCCTGGCTTTGCCTGTTGAGCTTGCAAAACCTCTGGAGATAGAGTTATCCCTGATGTGCTTCTGTGGAGACCCCACTGTGATGCGACGTCACTCTAGAGTGACATCAGCAGAGACCATCCTAATTCCTATGCCGAAGTATCACTGCTCCTTCCCTAAGCAAGCAACAAACCTCCTGCCCATCTGCTGCACCTGGCTGGGCTTTTGGGTGCGTGAGAGGCACGTCATTCCTGGGCAGAGCCGGTTAATGGCACTGACCTCGCCTCCGCAGCAGCCGCCCCCGCGTCCCCGGCGTGTTGGAGGCGTTTGTTTGCTGCAGAGGTTTTGCAGCCCGGCAGCCTGACTGCTCTCGTGCCTCCTGCCAGGTCGGCTTTGCCTCTCGCTGAATGATGGCTCTCTCCTTCATGTGCATGAACTGCTCCCATCTGGGTCCCGTCAAAACCGATTCAGCTGGCAAAGGATCGAACTGGATTTAAATACAAAGCGGAGCCTCTCCTCCCCTAGTCCTCGCTTTCTCTGCTTTTCATGCACTTGCTCTCTCCTCCAGTCCTAGCCTGTCCATCTGGGAGTGATGCTTCCTGCTCAGGGAACTACTGCAGTCCTGGTGGGTCCACTGAGTGCCAGGGAAAACCAAAGAGGCTGCAGGAGTGGGCCACTGTTGTAGCAGAGAAAAAAATAAGGGACTCAAGCCCATTACTAGGCTTAAGACGTAGGTAAAAAACACTGCAAGGGATAACAGATAAAAGTTCTCCAGGGTCAAATCCCAACCAGATGGAGGGAAATTCCTCAGGTAGCCCTTTGTGCAGCTTTTTGGTTCCTGTACAGGGCAAATTTCCCCAATGAGCACCCAGCCCATAGTGCTCACAGCAGAGCATGGGAGTAAGGGATAAGCCGAGCTTGATGTGGAGGCATCTTGCTTCTGAGCACTTGTGTGGTGTCAGGAAAGGAGCCAGAGCCAACCTGGGGCCCTGGAGAGTGTGTGCCAGGGCAATCCTCAAAACCCATCTGTGTTTGCTTAGATACCAGATAAAGTGAGTCACGTTTTTATGTAGGTTTTACGTAAGGGCTTCAACCAGGTTCCCCAGTGAAATGCCAAGGGAAGAGGCTGAGGTTTCAATGTGCTCCTGGTGATAGCGAAGCAACTCTGTTTCTGCCTTCACATTTTTTCTCTGCCCTTTACGTGCCAGACACACAAGAAGGGAAGCAGCAGTACAGTGTGGGCTCCCAGGTGCCCAGCAGGACCCTGGGTTCCTGTTCTCTTGCTTTCCCTGCCACTTCCCTACCCATGGGCTGCAGAAAGTGATGTCAGGGGGAGAGGAGAAGCAGCAAACCGTCCCTGTGGGGCATCAGGTGTGAAAAGCATGTTGTGCCAGGGGGCGCGTGGGACATGCTACGTGTTGGGGCTGTACCTTCCTATGGGCACAGCATCCATAGAAATCCTTCCCAGCCACCGCCAGTCTAGGATAGGCTTCAAAACATCCCCCCAAAAGTTCTAGTATTTCATCCTTCCCATTCTTTGAGAACTTTCTAGACCTGACAGAGGTTATCATTGCGGATAAAGCTTTTTGTGCATCTTTGCCCCAAATCTGCCTCTTGGGAGAGTCGTTCGGGTGCTGTGCTCGCTCCTGCTGCCGGCCACTTCCACGGGATGCCATTAAGTACTTCTCAGCTCTGTTAAACTGTCCAGACCAATCTCATGAGCTCATGGAGAGTAAATGACTTCTTTGTGACAATGTAATGCAATTAGTGCTAATTGTAGAGTGTGTAATGTCTGCAACACATCTCTGTAATTACAGTAGAACTTGCCGGAGATGAGAATAGTGCTGTATTATCAAAACTCTGCTTAGTGAAACGTGCCTTTGGCTGTAGGTTATGGAGTTGCGTGGGGAAAAGGGGAGAAAAAAAAGTGATGAATGGCATAATTGTGTTGCATTATTTTTAAAGGAGAGGATTTGGAGGCAGGGGGGAAGTTTGCTTGCAAGAGAATGCTTTCAAGGTTAACAGGCATTGCAAGCAGCTCTTGCCCTCTAAAGACGATTCAATATAATTTTGACCTCTCCCAGCATAAGATGCAGATGTATTGAGTGTGGATGCTTGCTTACATCCAAAAAGATGCAGAAGTGTTTTCAGTTTAGTGCTGACAGGCTTGGGCTGGTGAACCAGGGCTATGGGATGGAGGTGTGCCCTGATTTGACATCTCCCTGGCCACAATGGGACCCAGTATCCGCTCTCCTCCAGGCAGGGTGCAGGGACCTCTTCTCTGCTTGGCCTATGGAAGAGGATAGCCACAGACTGAGATCTCCCTGCTGCTCAGCTGGAGCCAGCCCCACACTTTGCTGCAGTCCCACCAGCTAGCAGGACATGAGCTTGTTTTGGCTTTAGTGAGATAAGGACTTTCCTGAACCTCTGCATCCCTGTGGATTGAATTGGACTTTAAGTCATTCTCATTAAAAAAAACCCCCATGGTGTGATTTTGGGGTTATCCTGTGCAGGGCCAGTAGCTGGACTCTGATCCTTGTGGTTCCCTTCCAGCTCAGGAGATTTTGTGATTCTGTTCTGTGATTCTAACCCCCAAATAACAAAAATCTCCAATGGTTAATTGTTTTCCCTGGAGAGAGCTTTTCACCAGGGGATAACATGCCCACGTTCCTGCTCCCCCCCACCCTGAGCAGGGCTGTGCATCATCCCCTGTTTGAGCTGTGCAGGTCTGTGGTTACTCCTGTCTCAGTCAGTTGTTTGGCCAAGGCTGCAGAGTCTTGTTTATGCTTTGCTCATTGTAACGGTAACGAGCCTCTTCAAAGACTTTGTAGGAAAGTTAAATGCTTCTGGAATATTTTGCTTACGATTGGAGAGGAGCTGGAGCTGGAGGTGGTTGGCAGGCTGCTTTATTCAGGAGCAGACACTACTCCTTTTTGCTTCCTGAACACTTCTTATGTTTGTTATGATTTTTCTCCCTCCGTTGAAGATTGTATTAAACAATGAGCTCCCCTGAAGCCTTCATAAACAACCCTTAAGAACGTCTTGCTCCCTCTTGGTTTTGAGTGCTGAATTTCAAGGATGAAATAGGCTGCAGAAAGCCTGCTGTGTTCACAGGTGATGGGAGAGAAAGGGATGCTGCAGTCCCCCACTCCATCCCTGCTCCATCTAAACCTGGATGTGGGGTTTGAAAATCTCTTTAGCTCAGAAATCAGAATGAGGTCTGTGGTGCCAGATGGGTCTCTGCAGGGATCTGTGATCCCGTGGCTGCAGCAGCCAGAACAAGATTCCTGCTGGGTGCTCTGGGTGAAGCTTCCAGCACATGGCCTTTACCCCACAGCACTGGATCACTCCAGAGGCAGGCAGGGCTCCTCTGGAGGGCACTTCAGCTGTATGAGGCTGATCAAGGGGCTGTTTCAACTCAAACGTGGGAAAAAAAGCACTGGTGTGGGAGTGCCTACAGGAGCCCCTGCTGCAGCCTCCCGCTGCACTGCAGGCAAAGGCTGTTCTTTCCCTGTGTATTAGTCTCTTCATCCCTTAAAAACATACAAAACTAACAGAGAGGTAGGATAAATGTTGCTTTTTCATCCCTTCTGCCTGTATTGATCCCTGTCACAGGAGGACCAGCACCTCGGGACGTGGCAGCGCGGTGCCCTCTGCTCTGCCCGGGCACTCTGAGCACCAGGGGGTAATTGCCCATGTAAGCAGCCGATTTGCACACGCAATTACCCGATGTGCAGCAACAGCCACAGCTCCTTTGAGCCACAAGAAAAGCTGCACCAAACCTGCTGCCCCTCTCCTGGGCTTTCCAGGATGAATGCGAGTGTCCTGGAAGCTGGAAGCCTCTTTCCAGGCCCCACTGTGTCCCGACTAATCCCAAATTAGGCGCTTTTTTGCTCTGAAGTGCCAGAAAAACATCAAGCCAATACTCGTAATCAGAAACCTCCAGGAGTTCAATATCTGGGGTTGAGCTTTGCAATTTAATGCTTAAAGTTGCTTTTGGGAGGATGAAGAGCATTCAACACCTGGTGACTGATGAAGCCCACGGCTGCAGGTTCTTCCAGCTCCGTGCTGCCTTCCCACAGCCTTTGGAGCAGAGCATCCCGAGCAAGCTGCGTCCCTGACTCACGGGAACCTGCTGGGTAAAAGAAACCCCTCAGCAGCCTCCCTCATGGCTGAGCTGACTCAAACCCACCTGTGAAAAGCCTTCCTTTTTTTAAGTTTTAGGACTTTTTTGAAGGTATTCTTTAGTTTCTTTCAGTTATTTGGCTGAACTTGCTGCTAATCCAAAAGCCTCGTTAGTCAAGTGTCCTGGTTGGGACACACAGTGTGGGGTTCGTGCTCCCTCCAGTGCTATTCTTTTTCTTCTGTTCAGCTTGATTAAAATGAGTATTTTTAAAATTAAGCAACACCCACGAACGCGATGAAACTCGCAAGGCTCAAAAAGCAGCCCCTGAGCGAAAGCAGAGCGCAGCCAAGCTGGGGAGAGCCAGGAGGAAATTTCATTCCAGCTTTCTGAAGATACAACGCTGCCTAAATAATTTCCCCTTGTGTTTTCCAGCACCGATGGCTTAATATCACCCACTGATGGCTGCGCTTTGTAGATAAAGGGTGTCTATATGCCCAGTTTTGGAAGCTTTTTAACACTGAATAAATCTGAGCCTATCTCTGGCCGGCAGCGTGGCAGCTCTGTGTGGGCAGAGGATGGGCAGTTCTGGGGGGTGGCCCTCTCTGCAGCCGTTGCTGCTTTGCCACAGGTTCCTCATGTGACTTTGGTCACATCCCCTGGCTGTACAGCATCCCTGGCACCCAGTTGTGGAGAGGTCAAGTTTTCCTCAAAAAGTGCCCTCAGCACAAGCTCCCTGCATGACTCTGCTGGGTCTTCACACCATCTTGGGATTCCTGAGCAGGAGTGATCTGGGAGATGGTAGCAAAGTCAGGGCTTGAGAGCAGGGTGAGTTGGAGAAGTGATGCTGGCTAGGCGTGGGAAGGACTTTCTGGAATTTCTGTGCTCTGTTAGAGGCCCTCTGGGTAAGCAGAGCCCCTTACCCCTCCTGTGATGCCCTGAGCATCGCTTCTCTGAGCCCTTTTCCTCAGGCAGGGGTGCTGCCTGGCACTGTGCACAGTAGATCCTTCCTGATGCTTTGGGTTTTATATGAAAGAAACCCCACTGTGCTCCTAGTCTCTCTATCTCCAGGCAGAACAGGAATGAATTTCAGCTGCCTGGTCCATCCTGAGCCATCTCTTGTACCTGTCTGCTGAGTCCTGGGAGTTTTCCTGCTTGGAGAAGCGTTTGCCAAAGGTTTGCATCAGCTCCCTCTCTGCATCCCACCACCAGCCCGTTGTACGTCTGGCTTTGCAGATGCTCTACTTTTATTCTTAGAAAGTCCTAAATATTTCCGCTTTCCTTCTGAATAACTCCAGCGATCGGGGGTTGCTGATCACTCTGACGAGCCTCAGCATTTGCTGTGAATCCATCCTGTTTAATGCTGAGTATCTTTCTGAGCCTTTAACTTGGCTGGGCACCAAGTCGGTGGCAGCGGCGCTGACAGGCATCGCGCTTTCCCCTCTGAACAGAGATGACATTTGAATTGAAGCTTCATCAGGAGCCTTTTACACTGCAGATCTCCAATGCTATATATGCTGCTAAATGTACCTGTCACCTCACCAGCTGGTGACATCCTGACATTTGCTCTCCCTGGGTATCTTCCCTTGCCAGGGATGTGGATTGATTCCTCCCATGCATCCGGTTGCCTTGGGAAATGACCTTAGAGCTGGGGACTGGTGATCTCACTGGACTTAATTCTTGGTGACTGAGTTCTACTGACATTTTTTTCTCCAATACTGTGTTCTCTTAGGGAACTGGAGCTGCTGGTTACCAGCAAGTTGTGGATCCTGTAGTCTGTGTCTGGGGCTGAACTTGTGGTGCTATAACACCAACAGTGTTTGGAGACAGAAGCAGGAGAACACCTGCTTGCTCTTGGTCTTGGTGTTCAAGCGTTTGCTTAAGCCTCTGGGTTGTTGTTTGGCTTGTTTCTTTAAATTTGGCATTATAATTGTTCTTTAATATGTTAAATCAAAATGCATTTTACAGCACGTCCTTTGCAGATTACAAGCACACGTATCTCTAGAAGTGAGTCTGGAGCTGTCATTAATCAGAAAATGATTTGTCTTGGTGGAAATAACCATGTGTTGCTCTGAATTTTTCTGGCAGCGTCTGTTTTAATAATGGATGAAAGAAAAGCTGTATGTTTGATATGGGCTTTTTACCTGAATACTGCCGACCATACAGAAATCTTCCTTTCAAATGGTGAGGGAAACTGGAGAGCCATTAAAGCCAGGAAAATCATTGCCCCTCTCCTTAGCTTAGCCAAAGCTGGCCCGATGTGGTGAGTCCTGTGCAGCAAGGAAGGGGCTGGTTTTGTTCACTTGGGCCAGGTGGGATTTTGTGGACACGCTGCCTTCCTCTCTGGCCAGAGGCTGAGAACAGATTCCTGCCATCCATATGTGCCTGTCCAACATCCATCTTCTGGGACTGTCCCGTGGCTGTGGGTGTCAGCTGAATAGAGAGGAACACGTTGATGTTATTGTTGAAACCACCTCAGCACTGACAGATCCTGCAGGATTTCCAGCAGGGAGGGAGGGGGCAGCACTGATGCCTTTGTGCAAGGTGCCAGCACAGCCTCCTCCAGAGGCTTGATGTGTAATCAGGTGAGACTAATTCAGGCCAGGGCAAGTGTGGAGAAAGGTTGTGACTGGGAAGCAGAGAGCCTGTCTGCAAGATGGGTCTGGAAGATCTTGGTTTGTTTGGCTTTTCAAAATCGAGGCCGAGAGGAGATGTGATTTGTCTTCTGTAAATACATGGGTGGGTAAACATCAGGGACAAATAACAGCCAGAGAAGCTACTTAAAAGACAGCGCTGCCATAAAAATGAATGGATATGAGCTTGTCCTGAATTAATTCAGGCTTCAAGTTAGTCTTCAGACCATCAGAGTCGGAGGGAGGGAGCAACCCAGCTAGTTTTGAGTTGGAACTTGATAATTTTTGGAAGAGATTAATATCCTGTGGTTGTCTGTGGCAGCAGGAGCCTGGCTGTGCAGGGAGCTTTGTGGTCCTCTTCCTTGCCTTTGCCTGGCTCTGCTTCTTCAAGAATGCTTTTGGGCAGAGCTCTTGGGTCTTCCCAGAGCCAGAGACAAAAGTGACTGATGGCCCTGCTGTGCTTGAGCAAAGGTGCCATGAGAAGTGAGATGGTGCTGGGACACCCTAGGGACTTGCAGCAGTCCAGGTGCATCCTAAGTCCTGTGAAGGTTGGACCTCCATGTCCTGAGCTGTGAAATAATCCCCTCAGACACCATGTAGGAGCACTGAGAGGTTCCTTGGTCCATGTTTGCCCCATTTGTTATCCACAAGTGTCATCAGTTTTGGTCCCACCTGCCAGTGGTCTCTGTTGGGCAGAGGTAGCAGAGCTCAGTGTCCTGTGCTGCTCATCTCCTGTGTCCCATGGAAGGGTCTGCACCAGGGGATGCACCTCTTCTTTTCCGAGTCGTGGTGATGCTCAGCACAATGAACTCAGATTCGTTAAGGTATCTGTAAAATTGTTGTTAAAAACAGGGCTGTCTGGAAATTGCTCCTCTGGAGCACGCAGGGATTTTCAGAAGCTTTTGCCTGGCCCTGTGCAAAAAACCAGTAACCAGACCAGATGAGAGAGAGATATCTGTGGCTGTGTGAGCTGCTGTATCACATTCTCCCTCATTGACTTTATTCTGATACGCAAACAACCCTTAATTAATTCCTCTGGCAAACTTTCCTGATGGGAGAGATGCAGTAACAAGTCCCTCTGTGAGCGGTTGGCATTTAATGTTTGCTTTATAATGTTTGATAATCCAACATTTCTCCACAAGATCCTTGTGTTTGTGTCTTTTGCAGGATGCTGGAGTATTCCCTGGACCTGCAGAACGTCAGCTTCTCCGCCGTCCGCACCGTCCGCGTCCTGCGGCCGCTCAGGGCCATCAACAGGGTCCCCAGTAAGTCAGATCCTTGTTCCTTCCCTTCTCTGCATCCGTACCCCAGAGATGGGAGGGCAAACACAGATGCTTTGATCTTGCATCTCAGCTCAAACATTCACCCAAGCCTGGCAGTGCCACTCCCTGAATTCCAGTGCCTGTCACTCTCCTGCTTTAAATAATATTGCTTTTGACATCTATGGCATCAGAGATGACTCAATGAGGTATCCAGGACTGTCGTCAGACACCTTCCTTTCTCATCTGAAGAGAGTCTGAGGATGCTGCGAAGGTGATGGGATGCAGGTGATAGGGGTTGACTGAGCCAGCAGCCTTTGCCAGGCAGTACAGGCAGAGGGGTCTGAGCCGTGCTGCTCCCACCCTCTCTGGGCTACCCCATCATTTTCTGGAGAAATTGGGGTGAAGAATTCTTGTTGTGCCTGGACAAAGCCCCCTGGGAGGTGCTGGGGACCCCACAGCTGGTCCATACAGCCCAAATCCCCAACATCTACAAAGCAAGCCTGGGTGGGATGAGCAGTGTCTCTTCAGTCCTGGTTTATCAGCTCATGAATGAGGATCTCAGCCCCTTTTAAACAGCAGTGGGTGGCATTGCCTGCTCCTGCATGGCAGCCCAGCCCCATGCTCGGAGAGGCACTGGCCATCACAAACCAATCCCAACCCAACTGCCCCATTCCCACTGCCCTGTGCTGGACAAATCCCAGTGTGCCATGAGAGGCACAGAGCTGCTTCCCTCTGGGGTGCTGTGCAGACCAGGTATGTTGAGTGTAAGTACAACTGCTTTCCTGGTCTTACAGTCCTGGTCATCAAACTCAGTATTGTTTTAGCCGAGTTAAATCCAAGTCTGCACTCCCCTATCTGAACTGGCCCAATGCCTTGATGAGAACTAATCAGCTTCAGTTCTCTCTGCTGATGGTGGAAGTGCCTGGGATCTATTTATTTTGCTGCTGACTCTTGAACTTAATCTGGCTTTGCTGCTGCTGTTTCAATCATTGCAGAAGCTTCAGAATCCTGTTTGCAATGGTTTTTTTTTTATCCCCACTGCTGAACTGGTGGATGGCTGAATTTATCCACCACTGTCTAACTGGGGATGTAATTCACTTAATGTATTTTGGAATCCTGGGTAATTTATCTTGGCTTCTCTGCAATGTAGTTACAGTGGGATAGAAATGTAAGGTGGGAAAAATGAAAAAGGAGCTTTGTATGATGATCAATGCAGTAACCACAGAAAGTAATTTCAGTTAATTAGGAGTTGATGCAAGGTGGTTGTGCCCCAGTAAAGGAGTAGAAGAAAAACCCTGATAGAAGAGATGACAGCATGGGGATGAGAGAAAAAACTCTTCATGAAGTATCAAAGCAAACAGTGCAACAGTAAATCTTTCTTTAAATAAAAGTCAATATAAGCAAGTGAGAGAATGCAGAACATGGGGAAAGAAGGAGAGCGAGAGATGAGCAGAATATTACAGAGATGTCAGATGAAATCAATTTTTTTGTGTGTAAATGTCAAGTTGCAGTCACCATCAATTTGCCTTTGTTACAGAACTGGCTGTTCCTGAACTTGTGAGAATTAACTGCCAGAGAGAGTCCTGTATTTTAAGGAAGAGAGGGCATTTAGGGTAGATGAGGGGAATTAGGAAGGGAAGGGAATTTTGATATATACTGAGTGGAGAAAGAAACTTCAATTGAGAAAAGGAGAATGTCAGAGTTTGGTCTCAAGGAAGAAAGGAGACATATAATTACTAGAAAACCTTGGAGGAGAAGAGGACTTGAGCAGGGAAGGTGGGTTGTGTGATCAGGAGCAGGGCACGGATTAAGGGGTGGTATCCCAGGGGCTTTGTGGGGAAACCAAAGGTGGCTGGGGGGAGCTGTGGGTGTTCACAAGCCATGTGTGAGTGCTGAGGACAGCGGTGGCAAAGCAGCAGCTCTCAGTGGAAGGAAAAGTATCACTGGAAAGGAAAAGGTCAGGAGGACACGGCTGGAATAAGAAAATTCAGCATGAACTTTTCCCCTTTGCCTCAGGTATGCGCATCCTGGTGACGCTTCTTTTGGACACGCTGCCCATGCTGGGGAACGTCCTCCTCCTCTGCTTCTTTGTCTTCTTCATCTTTGGCATCGTGGGAGTCCAGCTGTGGGCAGGTTTGCTCAGGAACCGCTGCTTCCTCCCTGAAAACTTCAGCATGTGAGTCCGGGTGGGCAGCAAAAGTGTCTCCCCAGCCTGAGTGAGTCTGTCCCTCCAGGTGACAAGGATCTCCGGTAGAAAGCCCTTCCCTTCAGTAAATGCTCCCTGCTCCTAAATGCCAGCACAGCTCCTGCTTGGGCACACACAACCAGAACAGAGCGAGCTGTGACAATTTGCCATTTGCATTTGCAGGCTGTCCTTAACCCTCAGCTACCCCTGATTGATAAAAGCCTCCAAAAAACCCCCTGAGAATGGGAGTTCAGGCTTTCTAAATTCAGCATATCATTAATGTGTGACCTTTTCTGTGTGGAGGCGTTCAGGTCTGAATCCCATTCGGCAGCTGTTGAGTTTATTGGCACAGTATTTGTAGTCCCACCCGAACCCCAGGGAAAGCTGATGGAGCTACCATGCATTTTGTGATGCTACGTGCTTTTCAGTCACAGAGCAAAAGATACTCCCCAGTTTGAACTGTTAATTTTCACAGATGCCTGGATGTTAAGGCCAAAATGACTGTTGTGATCGAATGGGCACCCAGTGTCCTGGCCAGCCAGCTTGCCAGATGTAGGAATGTTTGAACAGTTGTTAAAGTATCTGGTAGCCAACAGCCTCTTTCAGACCAGGATTTCCATACCTGTTCTCGTACCTACCTGCTTTTTTTCCCAGCACCTCCCTCCTTTCTAATGCTTGGAAAAGGGCAGGTGACTGCAAACCTTTGATGGCTCTGCCAAGCTCTGGCACCTCCATCACCTTTCAGTGGATCGTTGACTCTCCAGAGTTGATCTGGCTGGATTCACACCTGGATGGAGGAATCCTGCAAGCCCAAGGCCTCTTTCTTGCCGCACAGCAGGGTCATGCTGCTGCTGCTGTAGCCAGGTTGGCTCGGGTCTGGAGCTGGCATGAGGCACCTTCTGTCCTCTCCCAGGCATCTCCTACTCAACTTCCACCCCTCTTGTAGGTCATGCCCTCGAAGGGCGGTTGGGAGAGTCATTACCAGGGCAATGTTAAGTAAATGGCAGCAGAACAGGGAGACTTCACCACCGAGTAAATCCAATAGAGCCACAGGTTTGGGTGCTGTTTAATTGAGCCAGAATTCCAGGGGTTTAGATAGGCTTTGAAGGGTATTACAGGCAATTCTACAGGAATTAACTGGGCTGAACTAGGCTTAAAAATATCTTTGCAAGCTTTAGTGGTAGTCCTGGCAGCATTAAGGAGATAGTGTGTGCAGAGCAAGAAGCCAGTTTCTGGCTGGCCATGGGTTGTTTCATCTCCCTGAAGAGCATTTGTGCCTGGTGTGCTGTGGTAAGGCCACCCTCAGAGGGAATTTAGAGCTTATCTATGGGCTGAACTGACACTGTGAAATGCACATGAAGGCCCTGTCTCTGGTTTTCAGGAATCTTGGGAGGTCCTTGTACATGGAGTCTCCCCAAACAATTCTTAGCATCTCCAGGAGGACAGGAGGTACAGGAGCTTAAGCTGACTGATATCCATCTTACTGCAGCAAAGACATTTCAGAGAAGCCCTGTCAGGCTGAATCCTGTTCTTAGTCTCCTAAAGTCAAAGCCAGAGTGCTTCCAGATGGAGTGACTCTTCATAATGCCATCAGAGGGGTTGCCGAGTGGTCAAGTGCACTGCATCAGCTTCCTAAAACCCATTTAGGGACATCAACTCACCCTATGGGGCTGCAGAAAATCCAAGAGGATTCCTTTTTTTTAAAAAAAGCTTTAAGATCCAGAATAACAGGCTGTGCTGTTACAGTTGTTTCCTTGCCAGATTGCCCACGATTGGTGTGCAAACCCCAGCCCTGTCTGGACTCTTTCAGCCCCTACACAGTGGATTTGGAGCGGTACTACCAGACAGAGAACGAAGATGAAAACCCTTTCATCTGCTCCCAGCCCCGGGAGAATGGGATGCGCTACTGCCGGAGCATCCCAACACGGAGGGAAGAGGGTCTGGAGTGCACCCTGGATTATTATTCCTACAACGACACCACCAACACGTCCTGTGTCAATTGGAACCAGTATTACACCAACTGCTCTGCTGGGGAGCACAACCCCTTCAAGGGAGCCATCAACTTCGATAACATTGGCTACGCCTGGATCGCGATATTTCAGGTGAGCCCTGTCTGCAAACTGTCATGAGGTGGGCAAACAGGTGGTCCTGCCCCCCAGCACATTCCCAGGGGCTTGTAATTGCACTCCTGGGGGCTGTTTTGCTCCAGGGAGCACTTACATAGTAGTGCCCAGGTGCTCAAAGTGTTACAGTTTGATGCTTGATTTGAAAACGTCTCCACCTCACGTGCATGGACAAAACCCTCTGTGCATGCAATAAGACTATGCTGATGTGAGGCAGAGCCTAGAGATAGCTCTTCTCTCTGCAAAATGCAGTAGTAGCCCTTAAGTCCAGATGGGAAAGGGCTGGATTCAACCTGGGCAACTGGTAATGTGGCTCTTGGCATTGGCAGGAGCAGGATTTGGCTCCTCGGTGTCTTGTACTGCACCAAGACCAACTATGGGGTGACAGAAATGACCCAGCCAGAAGAAAACGTTGCTTGTGCACTTGGTGTGGTAACTGAGCTTTGACAGGTTTGCTTTCCCTTCTTGTTTCCACCAGGTCATCACGCTGGAAGGCTGGGTGGACATCATGTACTTTGTCATGGATGCACACTCCTTCTACAACTTCATCTACTTCATCCTCCTGATCATTGTGAGTGGCCTCAGGGGAACAGTGGGGTCCTCCTGGCATTTGGAGAGAGCAGAGTGGAGTGACCCACGGGAACAGGGCAGAGAATACAGTGAATATAAAAGCCGAGGTAGCAACCAGCCTGCTGGGAGACACACAGCTTCCCTGTGGCATTGTGCTGCAGCTGCAAACATGAGGAAGGGAAAGAAGGATGTGCTCAAGCTGTGGTAGATACAATTGCTGATGCTTCTACTATTTCTCTGCTTGTGCTCCAAGGTTCTCTCTCTTACTTGCCACCTTGAATTTAAGTTTAAAAGTAGGCAAATTTCACCTGGTCAGCTTTTGAGTGCTGGAAGGGGAAGAGGCTGCCCAAAAATTCCCCCATATTGATGAACCCATCTGGCTGGGTCCTTGATGCAGTGGGGAAACAGTCCCAAACTTCAGAGAGCACATTAAGAAAAGAGGGAAGAGATTACTGCCCACAGCCCACCCACACTTCTCAGCATCATCTGAGACCACCCACAAAGGAGCCAACAAAGAGTTTCTGTGGGGTGGGCTCCATGTTGGGCTTCATCTGTGCAATCAGAATTGTCTACAGTGACTGGCTGAGCTCGTTGTCTAGACTCCCTTTATCGTCAAGGGAGAAAAATAGGTGCTTTAAGGGGGTGATTCATCTCCTCCGAAGGTAGACATCCAAAATAAATTAGATGCATTGCAGACTTGATGTGCCTATTTCTCTCTTGACTCTAAAGGATCATTAGGTGCTTCACTCAGATGTAGCTGAGATAAGTGAGATGAGTCCTTTTCTTGCCATGTAATTGGACTAAGTCCAGCAAAATAGCTGCACATTGTCCATTAGGTCATTGTGGGGATTTCTGCTCCTCATCAAACCAGGACTCAAACCCTGATGACAAAGTAGATGGTCATTTAGTCCATGATGCTTTTTCTAGTTCATCTGTTAGCTTCCCCAAAAGAGAAGCAAACCCCTGCTCTCAGCATCCCTGAAATGATGGAGAGGAAGAGCAAGCAGTACTTTTCCAGATGCCGTGCGAGTAATGTTAGCAGAGTGTGATAGCCCGTTAGCACGTCAGTAATTCCCTGTGATCCAGACTGGGCTCTGCAGAAGGCAGAACCTCATGAAAACCTGGTTGGAAAGAAAATCTCCAAGCTGTGGGTACAGACTGCTGATGCCCTTGCGTAACAGTCACCCGCAAATCCCGTTAGCAGGGGAAAGGGATCTGCTCGCAAGCTGCCCACACACTGCCAGAAAAAAACGCTCCTATCAGGAAGGCTCAGTGCATTCATCGTAATGCCACTAATTGTGATAATTACAACCGCTGTCTGCGGAGAGAGAAAAACACCATCTTAAAAGAGCAAGAGCTTTTTGTCAAAATAATCTTCTCCCGTCTTTGATCTCTGTCGTCCTCCATGGAGGGCTGGCGTGGGAGTCCCTGGGGTGGGAGCTCAGGGGGTGAGTCAGCCCCCCCACAGCCTGGTGGTCCCCGCTGGGTGACGTAGGGGATGGGGCTGGCTGGGGTTTGCCCCCAGATCCTTAGATCCCGCAGGGCTATAGGGTAGGCGTGGCTGCTCCAAAGTGGCTGATGGCTCCTGTCCCCTTAGGTGGGCTCCTTCTTCATGATCAACCTGTGCCTGGTGGTGATAGCGACGCAGTTCTCCGAGACGAAGCAGCGCGAGAGCCAGCTGATGAAGGAGCAGCGGGTGCGCTACCTGTCCAACGCCAGCACCCTCGCCAGCTTTTCAGAGCCGGGCAGCTGCTACGACGAGCTCCTCAAGTACCTGGTTTACATTGCCCGAAAAGGCAGCAAGCAGCTCGTGAAGGCCTACCGGGTGGCAGGCGTGAGGATGGGCTTCCTCACCAGCCCCGAGAGCAAGGCAGGGGCCGACCGGCATGCCAGGAAGCGCCGGAGCAGGAAGAGGTCTTCCGTGCACCACCTCATCCACCACCATCACCACCACCACCACCACTATCACCTGGGCAACGGGAACCTGCGAGCACCCCGTGCCAGCCCCGAGATCAGCGATGTGGAGACCAGCTCTCTCCACAATGGCACCAACCGGCTGATGCTCCCCCCCTCCGCACCAAACTCCCTCGGGGCCCCCAGTGCCTCTCCCAGCAACACCGAGTCTGTCCACAGCATCTACCACGCCGACTGCCACTTCGAGCCGGTGCGCTGCCGGTCATCCCTCACGCAGCCAAGCCTCGGATTGCCAAGCCCGGAGGGGATCCCCAAGAACATCATGGGCACCAAGGTGTACCCCACGGTGCACTCCAGTACCTCCCATGAGATGCTGAAAGAGAAGAACCTGGGGGAGGCGGCGGTGGGTGCCGGGAGCAGCACCTTGACAAGCCTCAACATCCCGCCTGGGCCCTACAGCACGATGCACAAGCTGCTGGAGACACAGAGCACAGGTGAGCTGGGGGCTGGATGTCAGTCTGGGGTTGCCTTGCAGAAATACAAGCTGTGACCTAATTTCTTTCTCTCTCTCTGGATTTTTGCAGGGTTCTTTTCAGTTCACGTTACGGAGAAAGGCGATGGCTTTCCAGGTGAGGCAAACAGGAGTCCTCTGAACTACCTAATAGCTCTTATAATCAAATCCAGGAGAGAGGTTTCAACCTCCCAGACTTCAAACTTGAAAGAATCCAAGGGAAATGAATGTTTTCAGTGAATCTATTTTCATTCCAATCCCCATCTTGTAGGGGACTCACAAGAGAGCTACAGAGGGACTTTTGACAAGGGCATGTAGTGATAGGACAAAGGAATGGGTTTAAACTGACAGAGGGTGGGTTTGGATTAGATGTTAGGAAGAAATTCTTCCATGTGAGGGTGGTGAGGCCCTGGCACAGATTGCCCAGAGAAGCTGTGGCTGCCCCGTCCCTGGAAGTGTTCACGGCCAGGTTGAACAGGGCTTGGAGCAACCTGGTCTAGTGGAAGGTGTCCCTGCCCATGGCAGGGGGTTGGAATGAGATGATCTTTAAGGTCCCTGCCAACCCAAACCATTCTGTGATTCTAGAATCTCTATGCTCCTCCCAACCAATTTATTCTGCAATTACAGGGAACACTCCCCAAATCCTTGCACTTCCAAAATCAGCCAGAGGTTGAGGATGGACACCTTCCAGATCTGAGCCCTAACACATCCCTGAGCACTGCATAGCTCTGCTCCTGTGGGACACAAGGCTCAGAGAGATCGAGTGTCTGCTTTGCATGAGTGCTCAAGGGCAGTCGCAGATATAGAGTATTAAAATCTGCTCAGGAAGCCTGTAAGAGTCAGACACCAAATGCAGCTTTCCTGGATCAGGGATTTCATACCTTCACCACAAGATGCTCTTTCCCCCTCCACATCCTGAGGTTTGGGAGTTTGAGCCAGTGTAGTCCAAACACTTTCAACCTCCAAGAGGTGTTTCTGGCCAAGCTTTCTGAGGCAGTCAATACCTCCTCCACCCCACTGCAGTGGCACTGACCTTTCGAGCCCAGATCTGTGCAGGGAAGAGACCAAGTCCTGCCCCCAGCCCAGCTCTGCACAGAGACTAAACACACAGAGCTGGGCTCTGAGTTGGTTTAGCACTGGGTTTGCGTTTGCACTGCTGTGTGCTGCTGGGCAGCAGATAGTCTCTCTCCTCACAGCCAGCTGGTGGAAATTTTGGGGAATATTGTGCTGGTATTTTCACCCAGGAGACACCTGGCAGCTGCCATTGTGGACAGCGTGTAGAGAGGGAAGCTGGTGATTTCGGAGCATCAGCAAAGAGTGGGAGCAGGAAAGGAATCTACTGGCAGCAACTCTCCCAGTAATTCCAGTCTGGAGCCTGCCAGGGCCAGGGAAGCCCTACCCATAATGGCCAGAGGTATAATGAGGGTGGGCTAGGGGTCCTGGGCTGGAGTGGTGTCTGCCTGGCGGCAACAAAGAGGGCTTCATAACTGGGGAAAAGGCATTGTAGAGCCCAGGTTTTAACCCAGCAGGAGCCCTTTTCCCATTAGGAAATGCCTGTCATGTCGAGGGCGACAGCTTGGTGCTAACAGGGACTGGGGGTTGCTCCCGTGGCTGCCCACAGTCCTCTGTCCCGGCTGATGGGCTGCCCTTTCCTTGCTGGCACTTCAGGTCCCTGCCAAAGCTCCTGCAAGATCTCCAGCCCCTGCACCAAGCTGGATGGTGGCTCCTGCAACCCCGAGAGCTGCCCTTACTGCCTCACAGCGCTGGCAGGCGAGGCCGAGCTGTCGGACAACGAGACGGCCGACTCGGACAGCGAGGGGGTCTATGAGTTCACGCAGGATGCCCACTACAGCGACCAGCGGGACCCACAGCGGGGCAGGGCCCGGGCCAGGAGGGCCAGCCGGGTGCTGGCCTTCTGGCACATGGTGTGCGAGACCTTCCGCAAGATCGTGGACAGCAAATATTTCGGCCGTGGGATCATGGTGGCCATTCTCATCAACACGCTCAGCATGGGGATCGAGTACCACGAGCAGGTGAGTGCTGCCCGGGCGGCTCCTGGCGCTGTGGGGATGTGGGCGGTTTAACAGATCAGAATCTGGCTGCTGGTGGGATGTTTTGGGGCAAGAGGCATTGGAATGCCCTGGATAGAGCAAAGCAGGCTTTTTCCCTCTGAGCCTGCTTCCAGCTTGCAGCAATCACCTTGACCAGTACCTGGCTGTGTGAGCTCCTGCATCCCAACCCTGCCAGGGATGCTCAGCACTGTGGCCAAGACCACCCGTCACCTGGGCAGCACCAGGTGTAGCCGGGTTCCGTGGTGAGGGGAGCAAGGAGAGGGAGCAGCCGTTTGCCACCAGGTCAGTGCCAGCCCAGCAGTGCTTTGCCAGTGGCTGTGGGCTCCGAGGTCGCTGCAGCTGCAGGCAGGGAAGTCTATTGAATTTGCGCTCCCTGGAGAGGAGGTAACAAATGGCTTTGCCTCCTCGGTGAACGCTCCAGCAGCAGCATGCCGAGTCCAAAATAGACTCATTGCTGGCTATTCCTCCGCTCGATTATCTGAGTCTTTGCAGTCAAGAGGCTGCCTCTGCTCCAGCCTCTCGCACGCTTGTCACCTAGCAGAGCTTTCCCTATATATAGTCATTAAGAAAAAGGAGTTGCCACGTTCCTCTTGAAATGGCTCCATAAGGATGACAAGAGCTCTGCTTTGAGAGAGGCTTTGCATACTCTGGCCTCACGTGGGTTTTGTGACTGCTGCTGGGGCTTACCTGGCACGGTGCCCTTGTCCTGCCTCAGGCACGACATGTCTTGGGGCTGCAGGTGCACACTTTGTTTGGGGTAAAGAGTTTATTAGTGGAGATGCTGAGATGCTGCAAAACCTTGTTACAGACCCCTCTGATATTTGAGGGCTCCCAGCATGGTGCTTCTCCTGGGGTGCCAGAGCTCTCCACTCCCAGACAGGCACAGCTCCCCCAGTCCCAGCACTGGTCTTGGCTGGGAAGTTGTTGCATTTCAAGTCGTGGCTGTTCACTTTTGTCCCTTCCTGGCATGTTTCACGTTTGCTGAGCCGCTCATGGTTGTGCACAGAGGTGTTTCTCCCACAGCTCCCAGTGACAGCAGTGGTGACTGCAGATCAACTCCAAATTCCCCTGTCCTCCTGTGGCATTAACGCCTCAGTGACCGAACACTGGGGAGATGTGGCTGTGCTAAATGTGTTCCTTTGAGCCAGCAGCTTCCCCCTGATGCCCTGATGCAGTCTGGCTGTCTAAGTGTTGTTTTCAGTACACATTAAACAGCAACGCGCTCCAAAGTCCTGCAGGTTTCACCTTCATCTGCTGCCCTTGGTGGGAGCTCTGCGGGGAAGCTTGAGTGATTCCACCTTTATTTAATAATCTCAGGAAGATCATCTCCGAAGGCGCTGGGGGGAGGTGGCTCGCAGAAACGAATAAACAATTATATTGCTCCTTTGGCTGAAAGGTGAAAGCAGATCCGCCGTGTCTTTGCTGTGGCTGTCCGAGGGACGGATTGTCAAGGCTTGTTTCCCTTTACCAGGAGCACCTTTGGGAGATGCTGGTGTGGGCTCCCACTGCGCGTGTACCAGGGGGACCATCCCACCGGGGACGGGAGGCTGAGCAAGCTCCCATCATCAAACACCCTAAAGGCAACATAGCTCCTTAATTCTTTGGCTTGGGAGAAATAGGGCAGGGGGCTGTGGGCCTCTGGGTGAGTCCCAGAAAACAGCTGGATGCAAAGATGAAGATTTTTTGTGGTGGTTTTCGGGTAACAAGGGTGAAGGGACCTGATAAACGTGGGGGCACTCCAGACGCTGTGGGTGGTTGCTTTCTTTAACAGTATTTTGAAGCTACTAGTGTTCCAGATTCCTTTCTCCCAGGCATTTGGAGGGAATAGCGGAGCTTGTTTTTATTAGTTCATCTGCTTGAAGTGGCGGCAGAGAACAGAGAGGTGTTTTTTTGTAAACTCGGGAGGCTTATACTCGGCAATTTCATAATCTGACAGTTACGAGAGCAGGAATTAGAGGGGTGAAATGCTGAACCAGGCCTTTCTGCAGAGATTATAAACACCAAAACGTGAATTTTTTTCTTTTAGAAGAGCCTTTCCTAAAAGTGCAAGTGATCAACCGTGTCAAATTTATCTTTACTGGCTGATGTTTGCAAAGACGTGAGGGGTCTTGAAGAGTACTTGACTCTATGACTTTCTATATTAAGCTCTCTGCTTATTTAAAGGATATTTACCTCTTGGGCTTTCCACATGCCACTGTGGCCACACCAGGCTATATTAGGGTAAATATTTTGAGGACGTTTTAAGGTGTCATGTCAAAAACCTTGTGTTGTTTAGCAGCCCTTTGGTACAGGGGAGAGGACACACTAGCAGCTACTCTGTGAGAGGAAGGATGGGCTGGAGGTTGCTCAAGAAGGAAGAGGCTTCTGCCCTCCCCATCTGTCCCCAGCAATACTGAATGGGATTCAGCAGCTCTGGGACCACCAGAGCATCCTGAACTTCAAGACAGGAGCTGGTGAGCTGAGGCCTTCATTATAGCCTGGGAGAAAAGTTTGTTCCTTTGGAGGTTTGACATCTCACCTTGGGACAAGCAGCCTGGAGGGACCTACTTTTCTCCAAGGAAGATGCCTGGAAGACTGAAACAACCTTTCAGTCACTTGCTTAACAGACTCAGCAACCAGAGAAGGCCAGGTTGGGATATGTAGGACAAGAGTGGTTCTCTGAAGGCACATAAAAGTGAGTGGCAACTCTGAGTGTGTTGAAAACACTGGCCCCCACCTCTTGCTGTTTATTTGTATTTACCCCCCAGTCAACCTGGCCAGACTGAGCACCCATGGCCAGGGTGCTGGGTGCTCATACCAAAGGCAGTTCATGTCCCCCAGAGCTCCTCTCACAGACCACCTTCCACAGTAAAGTCATTGCCAACACACATTTTACCCTCATATGGCTGAGGCTTCAGGAGCTGGGTTTCCTCTTAAGTTGTTTTTGACATGAGCTCACTGACTTTCCGTGGTGGTGCGTTGGCGACACTTTCTCACTCACCACCAGGTTGTTTCCACGTGGTTCCTGCACGTGTGTGAGCCACAGATACACCTGACTGGGCATAACTCTGCGTTTCCTGCCCATCCTCCCCACCCCACCCACCCAGCTCCAGCTCCTGCTGTTCTCCTGGTGGCTGGGCCGGTGGGAAGGAGGCAGAATGGTGTGAGGTGCTCAGCACTCGCCACGTCGCAGCTGCTGGGCAGCAGTGTGAAATTTTCCATCAGGGGAATGACAACCAGATTGCCACGGATTATTAATGTGGCTGCTAAATAGCTTGTTTTTCTACAGAGATGAAGCAAAACGCAGGTAGAAACTCTTAGCTTTGGGTAGAGGAACATAAAGGTGATTTAAAGGTAGACTCCAGGGGATTTTAAATACACTGTTGAACCAATTGACTGATTTGCCTTAGGGAAGCTGAGCCTCTGCAGCACTGCGGGTTCAAACGGCTGGGGCTTTGCAAAAGCCTGTTCTGCCATAGCGCAGGAGTAAAATGTGCTGCTAAACCAGAGGGTTTCTTTGCTGCTTTCCCCCCAGCCCTGGCTGTAAGCCAGGCTCTGTTCCATAATGTGCTGCTTTTATTTTCCTTTTTTTCCTCCAAGTCCTTTCTTGGAGTGAAATGCAAAGGCTTTAGTACTAGGCGTGATGTTGGACTCCTCAGCAGGGGAAAGAATTCGGCAAGGGCTTCCTTGAGGAAGGGCTTTGGGGTTTTGTTTTTGTTTTTAAAATCTGGTTCATATTGAGCTGCCTGGCTGTTCCGAGTTTCCTTGTCTGAACTCGCATTGTATGAACTATACCCTACATATTCATTTGTTTAAATAGCACTTGAATTTCAGCCGCCGTCTCTGCGGTGTTTTGCCATTGTTAACATAACAAGAAGGAGACTGGAGAGTCCTGCATCGGCCTCCCCAAAGCTGCAGTTGGTTCAAATCCCTGGCTGGAGCTTGTGTGGAGTTGGATCTAGATTGATCTAACACCCTGGTGTCTCTGAAGGAAGGAAGAAGAAATTGCTTCAGACCTGTGGGGAACCTTTTGTTAATTCTTAAAAGCAAATTGGAGAGGTGACAAGGGTGAATGACTCTGTGGGACAGCACCCAAGGAGAAAAGCTCATCATCCATGGGAGACAGTTCTTCAAGGAAGTGGGATGAGGCAATGCCTGACATCCCCCCAGCATGAGTACAGCCGGTGGAGTACCCCCAGCTACAGCAAGGTGTTATAGGGATCCACAACGCCACAGTGCCCCAAGCCAAGGTGTGTAAACTCCTTCTGCAGGAGACAGGAGCAGCCTAAGTCCGTGGCAGTATCTCAGGCTGAATTCCTGGTGCATCCTGCTGCAGGGGAGTGTGGAGACTACAGATGATATAGAGTTGTCACTGGTAACATTACGATCTAATAGCTGCTGCAGCACGGAAATATCAACCATCTGTGCCAAGGAGTCAAAGGAAACCTTGCTGGCATAATGCATTAAAATGTCTATTTGTGTAAACAGTCGAGGATGGAGAACATGGGAGTCATCTTAATCAGTATCAGAGAACATGAAATTTTCAGGTAACCAGGATGATGGAGAGGGGGGAGGTGAAGGGTTAGAAAACTTGCCACTGTGGAGCAACCATTAGGCTGCAGGTTCAAGCATTAATAATAGTCACCCAGATGGTATTTAGGTACTTCTGCCTGAATTCAATGTGCAGGAAAGAAGGTAACTGAAAATTATTAGCTGTCATGACACCCACTGATTGATTTCTCTTTGTGGGAGGAAAAGTGGATTTTTCCATGGAGGAGTGGTGTAAGGGAGCTGGGCAGTGGGAATTTGACAGGCTGGTGCCCCACGTCTTGGGGTGCTTGAGTGCCCAAAGTTCTGGGCAGGCTGGAAGACAGCGATCTGGATACCTGTATGAGCACTGCCTCAAAAGATAAGGACATCTTTGGGAACAGAAGCTCCTAGGACTTGGTGGTCAAGAGCATCCTAATTTCCACCAGTTTCAA